CGATTTCCTCGAATTTGTCCGTTAGCTTGATAATTTCTTCTATGCACATTTGTCTTTAACAATATTTCTTTATACATTTTCAAATCATTGTCATTATAATCTTTTGGCCAATTGAAGACTATTAATTCGTATAATCCTTGTGTATAAGGCCATTTTGAGTTACCTAGCGAAATATTGTCTTTATTAAAACTAATTGATTCATTTCCTAACCTCCACTTTTGATTTTGATCTCTCTGAGGTCCGTACGCTTTATCTAACATTTTAGAGCTTATGTTTGATAAATCTAAATCAATACTTTGATTTGATATCCTTCTAATAGTTTGATTATTATTTTCTTCATTGTTACTATCATCTTCATCATCATCATTAGTACCATTACCATAGTTATCATCATTATCATTAAATGATTGAAATGAATTTGAACTTTGATTAGTTTTCTTACTAGGATAAGTTTCATAATCCTTCTTATTAGTTTTGAATGGAGTGCTTGTAGGAAAATCATAACCAACGGGTTCAAAACTCTTTTCACTGTCTTTGAAAACATTTTTGAAGTGAAACTTCTTAGGCGGCGGTTTCGCAAAAATGGAGAGTGAAATTTTTAAAACTGAAAACGTTACATGAGTGAGAAGGAAGATATAGGTAGTATAGGGAAGGGGAAAAAAGAAATAAAGCGACGCATGACGGATACGAGTACCTACATATGTATATATGTATGTTTGAATGCACGTATGTATATATACATATATACTCATTGCGTATTTCAGCTCTGCCGCTACCAAGCAATATATGTATATGCAAGCGTGCTTCGCATAACTACATTCATTCGTTTATATGTACATATGTTTGTGTGGATATATTTATGATGAAGCAAACGGGCTTCGTTGATGTGCTGATTGGCATATGTATGTACTTATGGACAGCAATGTTTTCATGTATGTACATATGTTTGTGTATGAACATATCGTCGTTTAAAGTACAAAACCGCGTATCGTCATTCTGCAAAACCGCGTAACTGACATTGGCTGCCAAAAATTGGATTTGCTCACACAAACTCTTGGCTCACTCCTTATCCATTCGTGCTGAAATATACTAGCCAGAAATGCGATTGCTTTATAAAAACGAGCACTATTTTGAAATACAGTATATTTTGCTTTGCTGCCTTTATGCTTAAGTGCACATATAAGACACCTACCCCAAAATGCGCATCTGAGACATTATTTTTAACATTTATAAGGAAACTGCTCCGATAGATGCATTCAACATACCTGCACATTGGCGATACCTGCCTTAAAAATTGTGCGACTAGTATCAATTATCAAAGAAAGTATTACGTTTACCTGCACTGGCCCTACAATTACCTAATTTTACAACTTTTTATTTATTTTGTTCATCTCGCAGAACAACGAAAATGGCTATAAATTTATGTAGTTATATATATAATTAGATACTATTCGGTAAAAATTTCGCTTGCAGTAGTTTATACGTGGTAAGTGCTTCTCCATTATTTGCTTTCATAGGGACTTGGATACCTTCCTCATTGAAGTAGTAAAGAAAATTCGCTTAAGTGCCTTTTTCGGTTAAGTGCACAAGTTTTTCGTGCAAAGAAGGAAGTGCAGCTAAGCAAAATATACTGTATGAGGGTTTTTACTCTCTAGAAAATAATTTATGCAAAAGCACATACGCGGTTTTGCACTATCTTGATACGCGGTTTTGCATTTTGTTGATACGCGGTTTTGTACTTTAAACGACGATATGTATGTGTACATGTATATATGCACATATGTATGTAGCACAAACGAAAACAAATCTAATAAGCTGCACGTTGATATAAATGCGACCTGTACTGATTGTCAAAAATTATGTGTTTGTTGTACATTTGTTCATGTTTGTAATTGTGCGTGTAATTTTCTAGAGTAGTTTTGCGCTCTCGCTATCTCCTTGTATTAACTCGTCCTTCGTTGGTATACTCATGTTATGAACACATGTGAGGATGATAGCAAGGCCAACTTATATAAGGTAGTGTTATATGGTAGACAGAAGGAGAAAATTAATTAGAATTATGATGATGATAGCAAGGCCAACTTATAGCAGGGTGGTGTTATATGGTAGACAGAAGGAGAAAATTAATTAGAATTATTAAGCACAAATGCAAATTAAAATTTTACCCTTACAGACGGCAGTAATGCGGATAAACCAGCCGCAAGGTCGTGGGTTCGAGTCCTACGGCCAGTACACTTTTTTTATACCCGAGCGCACTTGTGCACAAGGGTATTATAACTTTGTTCACATAACGGTTGTTTGTAACAGGCAAAACGAATCGAGATAGATATAGACAAATGTATACATAAATGATCAGAATGAAAAGAGAAATCGATTAAGCGGTGACTGTCTGTCCGTCCGTCCGTCCGTCTGTGCACACGATAACTCGAGTAAAAATTGAGATATCTTAACGAAACTTGGTACGTGGACTTCTTTTGGGCGTAGGACGGACGGTATTGAAAATGGGCTAAATCGGACAATAACCACGCCTACCTCACATATAACGGTAATTTTCAGAAATACGAAAACTGCGATATTTTAGTAACTATTAAAGATAATTCACTCAAAATTGATATTTACAATGAGTTTTAGACGAAAAATAAGAATATTATAGATTTTTGGAAAATGGGCGTAGCCACGCCCACTTATGGTTACATGTAACCGCTGCACCAATTTCTTCCAAACTTGGCATAGTTGTTGGTCCTGGTACAGCATCCCAAATGGCCGAAAATTTTTAAAATCTGACAATAACCACGCCCACATCTCATATTACGGTAATTTAGAAAAATACGAAATCCTCGATAAATCAGTAAATATTAAAGCTAATTTTTTCATGGGTGCAACAATTCTTAACAAAGAAATATGTTTTTGATAAAATTTTGGAAAATGGGCGTGGCACCGCCCACTTATGATCACATATATGTGTCTCGGTAACCGTTCTACCAATTTGTACCAAACTCGGTATTTTTATTGTGCTTGCTACATAAAAGCAAAACGTTGAAAATTATTGAAATCGGACTAAAATTACGGCCGTTTTTCATATAACCGGTAAATTTCAGAAATGCTTGAAATTTCAATATTTCGAAATTAAAGGACGCTAATTTACTTAAAATTTATACACCCCGGCTTATCATGTAGCGGCAGCTTTCGGAAAGGTGGAAAACATATATTTAATACTTGCGCAGGGTATTTAATGTTCGGCTCCGCCCGAACTTAGACTTTCTTACTTGTTATTTATAAGTTCTATATTTTTTATACGTTGCCTTCAGTTATGTGGTTGTTGACTTTTTAATAAAATTCAACTCTAAAAATTAAAATTAACTAATAGTAAAATAAGAAATGTGATATAAAATAAAGTAAATGAAAACAAAATAAAGTAAAATTAAATATATAAATAAAATAAAATAAAAAAATATAAAATAAATAATAAAAATAAAAATTTTTTCGCAATCGCTCCAAACGAAGATCGAACCTGGAAGCTACAGGCTTGTAGCCCGCAACTCTCACCATTCGGCTACTGCGTACGCGAAACTCGCCTGCTTCGTTTGCTTATTTGTACAAAAGACAACAACTGGCCGTTTTTACCAGCGTTGTCATCGAAAATTCCCCAAAATTTTCGTGCATTTGCTCGGCTGCTTATGCTCATTTTAAAAAAGAAAATGCATGCGTTAAAGCAAATAAAGGCTGGTTATGCAAATAATCGAGCCCGTTTGTCTACCGTATTACAGGAGCAGTTGAAATGTTCGCCCGATGTTTCTTAAAGAAAGCCATAAACGTAGCGACCGTTGGTTCAACTTGATGATATTTTGCTCTAGATTGCGCCGTTTGTGGGCCTGTTGAATGAATTTATGTCTTGGTTGTATGAAAGATCAAACAATTTGGATTTTCTGGCAAGTTGTACAACTTATCGCTACATTAATGGCCATGTTGTACAAACTCATTTAATTTGCGTTTATTTTGTACTCTAAATATACGAAAATGGATAACTCAGCCGAAATAGGTACGTGCTTTCGTTGAATTTTATAAATGTAAGCCGAAACTATGAAATTGTAAAAATGAGATTTTACAATGAAGACTGCTCGCAAAATTGCAATGTTTGTGGGCAAAACGTCCAACTTGATTGCGGATTGATTTGAACCAACGTTTTCGGCTTGCATTATGTCAAAAGGATGTGTTTGTTGTAATTCATTCTGTCATTTACTACCATTATGCGTAGGCCAATCATGAAATCATTTCATGCGTTTGAGTAGAAACTGAATGAATGAACACCATTTCATGATTACAATTAACGCGAAATAGAGTTTATGCTCTTAGTTTTTACTCAGATCGATGGAATGATTTCGTGAATTGGACTACGCATACATGTGATACTTGTGATTTTAATTTATAAGGTAATTTTATGTTTTTATACTTTTGCTACCACATGAATATATGAATTCTTGATAAGAATATATGAATTCGCCTTGGAATATAGAAAGCGAGTAAGAGTAAATGCCGAACAAAGGAATTTGTCTCCTTCAACTTAAATAAATGCATTTTGCAAACAAAAGTGCGTACGTTACTTAGTGCCTTGGTAATGGCGAATTCGTAAGGATCTATTGATTGCATTATAAACATTTTCATTCATTTGTTAAACATACAATTACTTCCATTACAACCCGGTCCTATGGATGCTAGAAGCGCGAATTCATATAAGGTGGCGTTACCGGAAAATGAATAAATAAATTATATGTATATCAGAAAATTAATAAGATGAAATGAAATTATTGTTCGGTTTCTAACCAAACCAATGTATGTAACTCAATCGCCTAATGGTTTGCCGAACCGTAGATATATGTTTACACATCCA